GCGCTTCCAGGTGTAAAGACTGTTCCTGTGCCTCTCATTTCTCTTGATAGTATTGACAGAGCAAGAAGTAGGCGGAAGACACGGGTGGTCTCCACCTCATCCTCAACGGGAGTGAACCCTAGTAGGTAAAATAATGCTTGATGTTTTATATTTATTGAGAGAAATGATTTTTCTATCGCCATAAAAGTGTTAATAAATGCTAGTTGTCAATCCTATAATGTCGGGATGGTGTCTGAGTGGGGGGAAATAGGATGAAGAGTAATCCGTTGCATTTAGGGAGCCCAAACGAGGTCTAAAGATTGACCAAGGCAGACCTGAACCCCATTTAATAAAAACACCGTCGAAGACTTACAGTAGATGCGTCAATATCATGACAGCGAATCCAAATGCAACTCCGTGGTCAACTGGTCCTCCTGACAGCCCTTTCAGAGGACAAAAGAGCTCTTGGATCCAATCAAAAATGAAAAAGAATTGGCAAATTTTAGAACAGCCTCTGAAAAGTAGTGTGTCAAATGAAGTCTCGAAGTCATTTTCTGCTGGAACAGTGACAGTTGAAGTAAGTGAGAAATCGGAGTTGACGAGCAGTCATTCCATGGAAAAGAAAATTATCGCTACAAGTGGAAACAACGATGATAGTCCTGTGAGCAAACCCCAAAACTCCAGAAGTCTCACAAAATCACGATCACAATCTTCATCCCATACACCCTCTTTCTATGGCGAGGTGTGGCGTCCCAAATTGTTTCGTCAAACACCCAAACGATCCAAATCCTCGGCTTCAGAAGTAATGGAAAATGCGAACCCTTCCAAGGCATCGGTTGAAGTGTCTCTAACACACACTCCAACTCTTCCATCTCCAATAAAGGATTCCTTTCAGTTAAGCAGATATCACAAGAAGGAAAATTCCTCCAACTCCTCACCGAAGAGTGACGAAGATGGTGAAAATTGTGCAGACAATTCACCGACACCGTGTGAAGCCTTGAAATTGACTCGCGATGGCCGAAATCCTGTTGTGTATGGAAAGTGGTTTGACTTTAACGACGACGTTGTAACCGAAGTTAGTTGTGAAAACTTTAAACACGTCTTCGAAGGTGTAGAGTGCGCTTACATGCTGTTCTACAAACGAATTGGTCAGTCAGTAACTTAGGGCGGTTCTACTTGATAAATAAAATGTATGTAAATGCGTGGTGTTTTCAGTTGCAATTTCAATGGTATTAATTGAGACAAAGTATTAAAACGATGAGATCCTATCTGCTGGTCTACAATGCTACTGGAGCATGTGGATTTCTTTTAATTAATGTTAATTTTTCCACAAATAGAACAGGAATGAGGTTAGGCTACGCCCTTATCCTCTGACATGCAGAGTGAGAGTCGCTATAAAATTAAGATATTAAAGTGATGCCAATAATGGAGCTGGTTTTATATTACGCTGGTAGCTATACGAAAAAAACTGAATTTCAAAAATATAAACTATTCTACTTAAAATGAGTAAGTAGAAAGCGTAAAATTGCAAAATAAAACAAAGTTAAAATTTCCTTGTCAAATGGGACAAATACAAACGCTGGCATAACATAAGCAAGTATGCCGGCGAGCAAAAAAGTGCAAAATGTCGAAAACCGCGATGTTGCATAACTATATAATACAAAAAAAGTTTGGAGAAACTGAAAAAAAGGATAGAATATTGCAAATGAAAGAAGTCTCAGAAATATAATAGGGCATCCCAAAAAACTTCCACCAGTTAGAAGAAAGCACTAAGTGGAACTGAATGCATGCAGTTATCGACAGTGCCAAGAACACATGGCTGGAGACTGGGCGGAAGATAAGCCCAAGCGTACAATAGCAGGACGAATCTTAAAGCACCTGTCAGACATCAGAAGGTAGTATAAACAAAGCCTTACAGATATTCGGATTAATGACAGCCATAAAAAATGTAGCACGCGGATCAACAGCACCTCCTAAAACCACCTGTGTTGTAGAATTGGGAGGAAAAGACGAGGGTAGAAAGAAGGAAGAGGAGGAGGAGAAGGAATGACTATATAACACAAAGAAGTTTAGAGAAACTGAAAAAAGGATAGAATATTGCAAATGAAAAAAGTGTCAGAAATTTGTTGTGGCATCCTAAGACCTCCCA